CTGGAAACCTCTGGATACATTTCTCCTCATCTTTGGACACCAGGAGCAATGCTGGAGGTGCCATTAAGTGACACGGGTCAGATCCCAGTCCTGCAGGAGCTGCTGAATTGCAGTGAGGTCAGAGTGGACCTTCCAGGGGTTAACATGTGCAGCTTGCTCCACTCCAACAATTTGTAACTTTGAGACAATGCTTCTGCATTTTTGTGTCCCCCATTTTTTCCCTTCTTTTTTTCCTCTTTTTTTTTTTAACTCGGACAAATAGTTATGTGGCATGAGGCTTGTTGTAGTTGGAAGGATCCCCAAGTAAACAGCTGAGCTTAAAAATACTAATTTTTTTTTTTTATTATTATTCTGTCTGGCCTTAAAAAAAATAATAGTAGTTATTACACAAAAGAAGACTTAAGCTGAAGGCAGTCAGAGCATCCTGGCTGAAAACAGGAAGCCGCCCCAAGTGTCTGTCCCCAGCATGCTGGCCATGCAGCTTGGACATTAAAAGCCTCGTCAGAGGATGTGCCCTCTGCTATGAAGTGGATCTCTTTATGTCTCTTTTTTTTAATGAGGTGGAAGGCTGCCTATCACAGATAAGTGTATATCCTGCATGTCTGCTTCCTGATGCGTGCCAGACTTGGTTCGTGTCACTGGAGTTTTTCTGCCCTCGCTTTGAACAGGTGGTGGTGGTGGGGAGGAGGCACTGCCCTGTGCCCTACCTGGTGCATCCTTTTGTCTCTGAACCCAGGGGATGGGGCTGTATAAAACTGTGTGTTGCACTAAGCTTGAGCACCTTCAGAAGCATGGATAAATGGAGCTCTCATCATTTTGTGGTGCTACACACAATAGTAGCCCCACGGTTATTCTGGGTCTTGAAGTCCAGTTGCAATAGGCAAGTTCTAGGAAACATGCCAGGTTTGCCAATCTGTTTCTCCAACAAACCCCCTTTGTGGATGTCAGAGAAATCTTCACTAAATCAAAGATTTTGTTTTCCCACCATCCCAAAACAAGGGACTTGTGTTGGTTGCCCCATCCCTGCAAACACCCAAGGTCACGCTGTTGGGGCTCTGAGCACTGATGGAGCTGTGGCTGTTCCTGTGCATTGCACGATATGGGACCAGGTGCCCTTTAAGGGTCCCTTTCAACTCAAACCATTCTGTGATTCTGTGACTTAGATTTGGCTCTGACATTTTGGTGCCCTCAGTGAGGGCTTTGTCAGATAAAAGCAGCTCTGACTGCCTGAATGAGCACATGCTCCCTGAGTTCAGCTCAGTATCCTTGAGCATCTGCTGTCATCCCCCAGAGCTGCTGTCTCCTGCTGCCAGGTGCTATGCCTGCAGATATTTTGCTGTTCTAGGTTTAAGCTGGATTTGCAGGCAACTGCTTTTTAATTTTTTGAAGTCATTTTTCCTTGAGGAAAATCAGATTTACTTCATGTTCTCTTCCCCCATATATTATTTGAATCACATTCCACTCTAAAGTGAGTGGTGTTGATGAATGCAGTCCATGGCACAGGTCCTGTTCAGCCAACACATCCCCGTGACCTTCATCAGGGCTTTGCAGCCTACAGACCTCTGTGGAGACAAAAATTAGATTATATTATCAAGGCCCTGGATGAATTTCATGGAACAGCAGCCAAGAACAGATCAGAAAAGGCATTCTGCACCTCTATGGAAACAAAGATGTTTGCTATTGCCTACTAGAAATACACATCCTGACACTGCCTTCCTGGGCTATGAGCCTGAAGGGCTGTGGAGATTCAACCGAGCAATGTTCAGGCACTGTGGAAAGGGAAAAAGCCTTGGTTGGATTTTATTCTGGGAGGGCAATCACGGGAAGAAACAATGTGGTCATTTTCCAGTTTGCTTCTGAAAAGAGAAAGCCCAACCTCAAAGCTGCTGAGCGTCGCAGAGCATGCTGAGGGTCAGCAGTCTGAGCCACGAGGAGCTGGGTGCTGTAGGTCAGTGGGACCTCATCCCCTCCTCAATGGCTGGGAAGGGTTTTGCAGAAGTTCCTGTTTTTGCCACCACTTCCAAGTAGGAAACCAGGAGGAAGGAAACGTGCCCTCTCATCTCACCGGCGCTCCCTTCAAAGCATGGCTTCAGGATGACGTGTCAGCACGGGGACTTGCAAATCTTCCCCAGAAGAAAAATAAGAAGCTGCTTTCCCTCATCATTTTCACATCACGTCAATGTGAGTGGGCACTGCAGGCAAGGGACGCGCGCTGCAGAGGGGCTGGTGACAGTGTGGCTCAGTGAGACTTTGTTAATCATTCAGGCAGGCTCCACTGAATTCAGACATCACAGTCTCTCCATTCGGTTCCTCCCTCGGGTGTTGCAGGCTCCGAGCAGACAGATTTATTGGGGTCTTAAGCATAATCAGGAACAAATTAGCCTCTGTTAGGATCACACACTGGCCTGGATCACAGCTATTCAAGGGCTGCCTTCCCATCCATGTGAGCATGAATTAAGTCATCTGATTGGAGTAGGTCTTGAGTATTCTTTTATCCCAAACACATGATCTTATCAGAAGCCCATTACGTTTATCATCGCATTAGGAGGGAACATTTGGAGCCAGTGCAGGACTGTGTTGGCTATATAAATGTTGTGCTTACTTCACTGCCTCTCGTGAAAAGAAGTCCAAGCTTCGGGGAGGCAGGGGAAGTAGGCTGTGAGATTCTGGCTGTGTTTGCATCACTAGGGCTGTGTAAAAGGTGTGTGCATGTGTCAGTGTCAGTGTCAATGTTCGTGCAGCAGGATGTGTTTGGGTGCCAGTGTGTCACTGCAAGTGTACGTCTGACTACTCATAGGCTGAAGATTGAGTATTTTTAATACAGTAGGGCTGTCCTTTTTTTTTTTTTCCTTTTTAAAGAAGTAAGCCTCTTTTCATTAAATGACAAAATCCAAAAAATAGGTATTTTTGTGTATTTGGATTTGTTTTTGAGGCTTTTTGCTTGCTGACCACAGCCTTTCCAGAGCTGAGCCTTTCTCAGAGGTGTCTGCTGAGGCTCTCGCTCAAACTGGGACACAGTGCTCTGCAGCACCTGAGCTGCTTTGCTTTGTCCCGCTGTTCTGGGGCATGGCAGAGATCTGTCCTATGCCTTGATACATCTCTACAGGGCAAGAGGGAAGCAAGTCTCCATTATGTGGAGCTCTACCCCTTCCTCGGGCTCACCAGGCACATGCTGAGTCTCTCCCCCACCTCACTAGTGTGGCATTAATGCACCCCATGGCAGAATAAGGTGTGACACAGCTGGGGCTCTCAGGGCCCATGAGCAGTTCAGCGTCACATTCCCAGCTGGGTTGGTAGCAGATGATGGGGAGTGGGGCCCTGCTGGCACTGGGGCCCTTGGGCAACATGAGAGGAAGGGCCGCAGGCCATTGCAGTGCTTCTAGGTTGCATTAGGGCCCATCTGCACATAAACCCCAGCCCCCTCCCACTGTGGTGTAATGTCTCACCCCAGGGAGACATTGTCATCCTCTTTCTGCAAAGCGCTCACAGCGCTGCTCCTCCAAACCCTTCAAGGTGTGTGCTACATGCTCAGTGGCTCCTGGCCACGTGAAGATTTTAAGATGTGACTTGTTAAGAAGCTTGGCCACCCTTTGAATATGACCTCAGACACAGAGCTGTGCTCGCACTGCTGAACAGCTTCCAGGCTCACTTTTGCCAGCTCCGAGTGCTGGCCCAGCAAGTACACACTTCCCCACGCTTACCTCGTATGCAAGTTGGCTGCAGAGGTTGTGATGAAATGAAACCACGGTGACATTGTTCCCTGACAGGCTTCTCCATTCTTTCAAACTCGTACTCTCTCAAAGACCTGCAGTTTTGCACAGAGGATTGGGAAGAAGGGAGTGGAAAAGGAGGGAAAGTCATTAAATAATTGAATCGCAATAAAATGATTTTTTTTTTTTTTTTTTTCTGGCTCATGATGGTATTTCACTGAGTAAACTATGATGAAAAATAAACAAGGGATTTCGTAGTTTGGAAGTAGCTCAAAATTGAGCAGCCGTTGGATTTTCTGACACCTAGCTTGAGATAGTCCAATGCTACCAACAGGGCTGTCCTTGGGGATCGTTTCCATCAGTCCAGCTTGCAGCTCTGGCTAATTTCCTACCATTTTTTCAGCAGGCTTATTTGCCAGACAAAAATACAACAGGCTGTCAGAACTGGATACCTCTGGGGACTGGCAATGATAATACAATACAAAATAGGATACCAACAGGTCAAAGGTTTCCATTTCACAGAGTACTCTAATGACTGAAAGTCATTATTGCTACGCAGTCTGTTTGAAAAGAGTAGATGGATCTTGATTCAGTTTTTAATGGGCCGGTGTTAGAGAAACAACCTCAAAAATTTGGCATCTTTGTTGGTAGTCTCATTAGAGAAGCCACAGAATAAATGGACAAGGATAATAAAGTCTCCTGCTGCTTTTGATCCTTTCAGGTCAGATCTGAGTTACGTTGGTTGAAGCCGTGTGCGTATGTGGCAAGCTCACCCTCACACGATGCATACTCCGTCTGCTCTTTGGACAAACTGATCTGCGTGGCCCTTGGTTGCTGTGGCTGTGATCCTGGCTGTTTTCACCATCTCTAAATTCACAGACGCTGTTGTTGTTTTGCGGATATCTTTTAAGAACAAAAAGGGAAACGTGGTAGACCAGACCTCTGCTGGCTTTTTTCCATCCAAGTCAGGGATGGAAATGGATGCCAATACCCATGTTCTGTTCTTGTGTGTTTTTAATCTCTACTTTCTTCCTTCCCCATCCTTTTAAATAGCGATAGACAAAAATAAGCAGAAAATCTCTTACTGTAAGGAATATTTTGAGGGTTTTGCCCAATAACAAAATGAGCTGTTCCTGATGAGCGTCCTTAAAATCACCTTCTATTGGCCAACGCTTTTACTTCCCAGTGCTCTGGACCAGCAGATGCACCACTAGTGTTATCAGATCCTAGCAACTAAGCCACAGACATGTAGCCGTGTTGCGACTTTTCCTCTTTGGTTTCTTTTGGCAGATGAACCCAGCAGGTGTTATTTCCACGATGGTGATGGAGTATGCGAGGAATTTGAGCAAATGACCAGCATCAAAGACTGTGGCGTTTACACTCCCAAAGGCTTCCTCGATCAGTGGGCTTCCAACGTCTCCGTCTCCCATCACAGCGACCAGCAGTGCCCAGGCTGGGTGGTCATTGGTCAGCCAGCAGCAACCCAGGTAAGGGAAGCAGACTCTGTTACCTCCCCTTGAAAGTGGAGTCCATCAAGGACATTGATGAATGTAACAAGATGGTCGACATTCATGTGTGCCCGCTAGCTCACCAAGGAAGTTGACAGCCATTGCCCTCTTTCTGAGTAGTGATGGAGCTGAAATTCTGTTCCAGTCATCCATCTGGAAACTGGCTGAAGTCGTGCTCTGCTCACAGTAAGCTGTGTAGCAGTCACCTCTAGCAAACTATCACCACCCAAAAGACTAGGCAGGCTCTCTGCTGCCAGCACAGGGTTCTATCTTGTGGCAATGAGTTCTGAAGGCTAATGTAGAATAATACAAAAGAGTGTTCTTTCTTTTTTAATAGTTTTGTGTTTTCTGCCTCCCGGTTTCATAAAAGCACCCTATTGTTCTATTCTGAGAAAGGTCCCTTCCATTCCCAAAGCCATTCATTAGCTTTAACCCCTTTCTTACATGTCTCCTTTGTAACATAAATAGCCCCAGTTACCATAACTTTACCTTTTGTCTCCCTGAGAGAATTAGATCCAAATGAGTTCAAAAAGATGTTAGATAAATGCCTAGAAAACAGAGCTGTACACGATGCAGATGCAACAGCCCAGATGCTACCCTCTGATTTAAGAAAGCCGGCATTGCTTGTTTTTTTGGTTTATTTTTTTGGATTTTTTTTTGAGACTACAGCAAGAAAAGGATCATCACATACAAGAGCTACTTTGTATATTCTCCCTTCAGCATCCACCATTGCCCCCTGCTAGGCAGAACAGTGAATCAGATGGACTTTGGATTTGATGCAGCCAAGTTGTTCTTGCAGTCTGGTTATCTGGGAAGTGTCCTGGGTGGGCAGTGCAGAGAGGAATGCAATGTCACAGATATGACAAGTGGATTTCTCTGTGAATAGTAAACACCAAGCATTTCCCCTTGGCTTGCAAGAGAAAAAATCTTTATCCAAGAGACGTGGCCTTGTTCACATTGCTCAAGTCTGTAACAAATTAATGACCAGGTCAGTTCTAAAAGTCCGAAGCATGGTTAGCTGGCACGGTACCAAGACAGAATTGAGCCCAGTATTGCCTTCTTATCACGGTCTCATTTATTATTTCACACTGGAAAAGGAACTTTCTTCTGGACCCCTACCAATGCCTTCGTCACTTTGTTCTGATTGGAGCTCTGTGGGCTGCAGTACCACAGTCTGCTGTCTCCAGTTCAGGTGCTGCTGAATGTGTGTGTCCCTGAGCCCTCTGTCCCCATCCCACTGTGATTTTCTGCCCTCATTTTCTCCTCGTGCTCTGGTAGGAATGCAGCCACTGTGCAGTAGGCAGCATATGGTCGCGCGGTGGAGAAAACACCACTGTGAACACACACAGCAGAAAGCCCTGCTGTGTCCCTACAGCTCAAGCATGTTTGTTGTACCCAGAAGAGATGAAGTTGTCACAGCCTTGTTAAGAAAAAAACAAGGAAACCAAGCTGTTGTATTTATAGGCAGAGCACTAGCATATCACACACTGGCGGAGTGAATGGGAACATGCCTCCTGTTATTGGCTGGGCCCTGGGGAGATAACAGTGTGCTATTTACTTCCAGCAAAAGGAATTTTTGCTTTAGCTCAGCTGGTTGTATTACACCAGGGCGGGCACATGGGGTTCATTGACCTTTTTAATCATACATGTTGGGAAAGCCTTTGTTTTCGCCAGGAACAGGGCAGACTTGCAGCTTGTGGAGGAGCACCTGACTTGTCGCTCTGGGGAGGTGAGGTGGGGCAGCAGGTCATCACTGTTACCTAGCGGAGTGCTTGAGATGAAAATTAACCCAGCATCTCCTCTAATCACCGCTTGTAATGATCACTGGTGTGTAAACATGTTTGGCTTCATTATCTGCGCAAGCACTGAGCCTTAGGGGGTTTTGTATTGATGAAAGGAGCACCTTTCTTTACCCAGATATCTGTCAGAGTAGGTTGTGTGCTTGCTGGTGTTGTGCAAACTTTTCATGTTGTTGCTGGGTACTTTCCTGATTAATCAGAGTGGCATTTGTGTTGGCTTCTCATCAGGAATGCCATGAAAGATATGTTTGAGTGCAGTGCGCAGTAATGTACAGAATACATAAGCTGCTTGTTTGTTAGCCATCCCTGTTTCTCATAATTCCCTGACACTCTCAAAGCACTTGAAAGCATTTTAAGGATGTATTTCCCAATTTAAAACGTTTTCTCATCCTTAGCTATCTCGAGACCCATTACTCCGCATGGCTGTGTTTCTGCATTAGTTTTGCTCATCCTGTTTCCGAGCTCCACGTTTCTCACTGTGGTGCATCTCAGCCATATCTACTTATTTACTCTTATTTACTCTTGGAGGACGGTTTACGAGCAAAAGCTGGAGTGGACTTTCTTGATGTCATAGGGTTCCTTCTGCAGGTTGAACACCCTGGCCCTGTTTGCACAGTTCCTTAAGACATCGCCTGTTTCTTGTTCTTTAGGAGCAGGACGTATGCCCTTGCTTGTTGTTTTGAGGTGGATCTTCATTACATGCTCATATGAGGCTGCAGAATGGCATCATACTATGGGAGGAGAAAAAAGTTTGCAGTAGAAGATTTGTTTTGAACAACAAAATGCTTACAAATGACACGCTCTTGGCAAACAGATACACATTTGAAAAATGAAAAGGTCAGAGAGCCCCCCTTCAGACAATCACTCTTTCTGCACAGGCAAGGCTGATAGACGGCCACTTCTACTTTCCTGGCAGCCACTCTTCAGTGCAGATTAAGAAATATTCACAGTACTGACAGCATCATATTTAAAGCCAGAGAGGACTAGTCAGCAACATCACGCCAGCACAGAAATGCGAGCGCCAGCACAGGGTATTTTTACAGCTTGATTTCTAATCTGACATCCTCCGCAGATCCTCAGTACCTGTTATCAGCTGCAGGAGGAATTCAGCAATAAGGGCTGTGCACGCTCCCGGGCCGTTCTTTTCCCTGCTGCTCTTGCAGTGAGTTTGTAAACAGCCTCTCCTTGTCATCCGCCGTGTGTGAAATATTATCGGTGTTGATGGACTGGTTGTGTGGGGTTTTCTGCAGCTCTGTTTATTTCTCAGGGCTTTTCTTGTGCTAAAGATTATTGATGCTAGCATTAAGTCATCAGCTGGTGTATGCTGGCAAGGACTACAGAAAGGCAGTAGCTCTGGGCAGATTTATACTAGCTGAAGGACAGATCCAGTCGGCATAAATAGGCAGACAAAGGGCACTCCGACTGATCTGTTTTGTGAATAGCTGCCACTACTGGAAGTCCCCCGGGACTTGTTTGTCCAACCAGTTCCTATCCAGCGAGGATCAGGCTTCTCACCACCAGCAGGAGGGGGAGGATGTGGCCTTCTTACACCACGTAAAGCACTCCTGAGCCTGGCAAAGCGTGGGCTCAGAAAGCCAGCCATTGGTCTCCATGCTGGATCCCAGCTTTACCATTACCAGTGAAGATCCATCAGTGAGGGCTGCTAATTAGGAACACGTGGTGTGTGGGCACTGTAACAGGATGGCTGTCCTGTTCTTGCTGTGGCGTTGGTGGACTCAGTTTCCATGATCCCACTGCACACTGGTTGGAGCGACCTGGGAAGAGATGCCATTGCTGCTTTCCTCTTGCTGGTGACCTCTCCTGCCTCTGCAGAATAGCTTATCTGTAGTTTTCTCTATGGCATTTATAGCAGAGGAGCATAGGAGGGCACTGATGGATCTTTAGGTGGCTCATTGATGACCTTTCTGTACCTGTTACAGCAGCATGTGATCAAGACTTGAAAGCTGGTGTTTACATTGGTGATTCTGAGCAGCAGTCCCCCAGCAGCTTTGTCTTTCATTGTATTTTCTCCCAGTTGCACAGAAGCTGTTCAAGTCACTATATATATATACTATACATATAGTTATATATATATATATTTCTTCCTATATCACTGTCAGTACTGGCTTTTCCCCTGTGCAGGAAGAACTGCACATCTTAGGCACAGTTAATGAAAAGGGGGCTCTTTCCTGAGGCTGCTGGATGCACAGATCCTGGGATTCATTTTTCTTCCCACACTAACACACCCTGCTCTCCCCCTGGGTACCCCACAGGGGCTGCTATGGAGTAAGAAGCTGTGGAAGAGGATTCTTATTACATCTTTCCCACAAATAGAGGCCCCCTCCTGCCCCTATTGCAGTTCCCACAATTGCACTCATCTAGACTCACTGCAACAAACATAGTCTTCAGCTGTCCAGAGAAAGATGTCAGCAATTGCAGTATACCTGAACTTTCCAACAAAAGGAGAAGGCGAGAGCACAAAAATATTTTGAATACTGGCAGAAGTAGCATGGCAGAGCAAAAGCTTCAAGGCTGGTAAGAAAATACTGTGACAAAATTGAAGAGAAAAATGATGGAGTTCTCTGCCACACAGTTTTACTTTGACTAATAAATATAACGCTGAAGATAATTCCCCAAAGATCCGGCAAAGCCAGCAAATGGGGCAATCTTGAACAGGAGTGGGGAGAGAGGAAACCTGCAACTTTTAATGGAGAAGCCATTCCTTTCCTTTGGGGTGATCTTGCTGAGAAGAGGGAGGGTGTCTGTCTGTCGGCTCTGCAAGTGGCCCTTTTTGAACTTCCCCATTCACAGCCAAGTCCTGTTGCTCTTCAACGGTAAAGGGTTTTATTGTGGTTGGTGGAAGAGAAAAAGATCCCCATTTTTAATAAGATGATTTGCTTCGCAAATGTCTTTGTTATTTATAGCTGAGCCAGGCTTTGAACTGCTGATCTCTGGAGGTTGAGTACAAAATCCCGCTAAGAAAAACCATTAATGGAGGAACCATGAGTGATCAGAGACCAGTTCTGGAAAAAGATGAACTGGACACTGCACAGGCTGCCGCAAGAGGAATGTAGCTTTGCTGTACTCGTCTGAGCACATTTCCAGTGCTGGCTCATGCACCACAGTTCAGAGAATTTCCAAGTCAAAAATTAGTTCAAGGGAGCCCAAAACTGAGTCCTT